CATGGGATGTTGTCTCAAGTTTGATGTCAAAAGCAGTGGAATGTGGTATAAAGTAAGCAGATATAAGCCAAATCTCATTGAAAAAATCAAGAAATGTTAAAGGAATGTACAGGAATGTTCAAAACTAAAGTATATCAATTTGACTATCTTCTCTTTTCCTTGAATGACCCTGCTTTTTCTATGGAAAGTTTTCAGATGCACACCATCCTGAACCCTTTTCCTGCCTCCAGCCTTTCAGTTCTCATTTTCTGTAGGACAACTAGGACATAACCTCCCAGATAACTTCCTGTCATTTTATTGTACTGACACTTGTCCTTCTTTTCTGTTTGCTCAATCCCCTTTCCACTATTTGAGTTTGCATCTAATGTCACACTAAATCATGACTGTCCATCCTTCTGGGCAGCAGCTGTATCTCTGTTAGTGTGTGGCCACTTGTTGAGTTTTAACTGGTACAGAACTCACTCAAAGGCAGAATGGGTGATGTTTGAGTAAAATCAGATTAATGTTAGTTCATAGAGTCAGAGAAGTCTTCAAGGAAAGGTTTGCACATAAAGCAATTCACCTGGGTTTTGTCTCCACTTTTAACTAGCTTGCAACACACGTTACATTAAGGGTCAAGTTCTGTGATATCCATTTATTTATTTCTAAGCAAATACATTGAGAGGCATTTTCTTCCTGCAGATGAATGTCTTTGCTTTACCACTTCCTGTTTATTATCTGACATTTCATTTCTTTGTAAATCTGAAGTTTACAGTTCATGCTGTGAGTTCAGAACTGGTTATAATACTTGAACAACATAGTGAGGATAGCTGAAAGCCAAAATTCACTGACAGTAGATCCCCTTAGCAAATTACTGATACACTATGAAAGCCCATTTCAAAGTAGTTCTTTTTATATAAAAAAATTATTTTTTTTTTTACTTAGTTTTTCTTCTTTATTTACTAGGACAGCGCTAAGAATAAAGCCTTTATTTTTCAGGACAATCCTCTGTTTGCTATTAAAAAAATTGCTAAATTGGTTTGGAGAAGACAATAATGATAATATGGAAAGTACAATATGTTCCATTCATTATATGTTAACATATAAATCTTTTATTTTTAATGTATCTCAGAGGTTTTTGAAACATCAAGTACTTTGGAGGAGCACAGGTATGTACCTTTTAAAAAAAATCAGAGGCTCCTCAGAGCCTTTCATGGATGGTGTCAGAATTTAACCAGTTTTTGGTGTTGTACCTGTTGAGCACCACTATTCTGACAGTTGATTGAAAAAAGCTGAGTAAGGTCTTATTAGTTTGAAGATAGGAGAGTTCGTGAAGCTGAATAGCTACCTGAGCCAGAAAGAAATACTGCCAGGAAGTGAATGATTCTGTCAAAATGTTGTTGAAATATTTAGCCAAAATTCATGTCGCAGGTGTATTTATCATTTATTAAGTTAGCTATAGAAAAAAATAGAGAAAGGAGTGAAATATGGCAGTATGTTTTGTAGTTAAGGGGGAAAAAAAATCACAATTTCACAGCAAAATAAACAAAACAGATTCTAATAGGCAAATTAGATTATCAAAATTGGCTGTTATGGGCAGCTTATAAGTCTAGCAGATACATATTTTTGCACAATTTTTGCATAGACTTTTAAGGTAGGAGCTGAACTCTCAGTTTCAGAAAATATTTTAGAAATCTTATCATTTTCAGATTGTTGCATGTTCTAAATTATAACCCCTTATGTTATTCCCTTGGTAGTAGATTCAGTGATTAAAAAAAAAGCACTTGGTGCAACTTTTGCTGTGATGTCCCTACTTACATGTGTTTATTGAGGTATTATAAAGAATAGACATAGAAGGCCACTGCACAATGCAGCACACATTGGTTATTATTTCTGAATCCATGTAAATACAATGAGAAGAATTACAAATGTCTTCATTACTGTGCCATTCTTAATGCAGTTTCTTAGCGTGCTATGACGTTATACTTCCTTTAATAGAGATAATTTTCAAGTAGCAATTCATATAACAAGTTCTCAGCTGGTAGGGTCTCCGAGTCCTGGGATTTCTGGCAGGAAAACTGGTGAAATTACGTAGGGTGCCAAGCAATCCAGAGGAGATCCAAGAAAACATATAAGAAGGATACTGAGTTCTTGGAAACTTGCTTCTATTTACTTTTCCAGTTGTCTTTCTCTACTGTCAGGCTTTCTGTCATTTAATGTATAGAATGATATGACTAGCTTGTCTGTTCCAAATCAGACCATTTAATTATTTTTCTTTATGAAGTTCCCAGCCTATGGAAAACTGCAAACTAGGAAAAAATGTTTAGCCAATAGTTTGTGAATTTGAAAAAGGTGGCATTTGAATGAAAAGGGAATTTGTGATAAATCTAGGCAAGTGGTATGGAGCTTATTTTTTAGGTAATACAACATTTGGGTTTAACAAATTTCAGTATTTGCTTATACCAGGTATATGACATCTTCCAAGCTGTGGAGTTCTACCCCAACTTCTCTTTTTGTTTTGCACACAGTGTCAGGCAAATAGAAGGAGATCAAAGGCTGTTCAGCACACAGTATTGCTGTGAACAATGCCTCTTTTTATAAAAATTGCCTTTTGTTTGAGGTAGATAGAAACAAAGCCAGCTGCAAGTTAATTATAACCTGAAAGGTAATCATGCTGGATTGGGATCCTAGGGTGTTAAATGACTGTCACAAGGCTGGCAGTAGGTGTACTGGCGTTGTGTGGCAGAATTACTGCAAAAGGAGCCCCGGGGAATTCTCTTGACATTTCCTGGGAATTCATGGGGAGATACATTGCCATCATGCTGTATTCTCCTGCTACATGAAATACCAGCACCGTCAGCCCTCTGTTTCCTTGCAGAAAGAGGATGAGTCCAGAGTACTCTGGGAACCCAGAGCTGACAGATGGGCCAACAATGCTTTTTCATTGGGCTGGATGAAGAATTCAGGTCATGCTTTCTGTGTGCTCTAGGAGGTCCAGCAATTTCATAGTGACTCAGACTTTCTGAATCAGGAGTTTGGGTTTATGCTTTTACACTTAAGTGCATAGGATATGATCCACTTTTGGAAATAATGGCACAGGGCTTTACTTCCTCAGGAAACAGGAGCACAGCAGCAGGTCTACTGGTTTGTGTATGATATTTACATAAGTGGAGCTTCACATTTCTGTTTTCCTGAAACGACTCCCATGAATTTATAGGACTGACTTACATTAAACAGTTCATAATGACTAAAATAAAGAGTCAACTTGAATAAATAGGAATGAGATAAATGAATTAAATTGGAAAAGCAGCAGGAAATAATGTGCCTTGGGAAAATGACTAAAATGATCTATGGAGAGTGACATTGTTGAAGAGCTGTTGTAATTATGTAAAGTAGTCAGCAAATCCAGGGATCTGTCACATGTTTTATCAAACTGGTTAATTTGCTCTGTCATTTTTAACAACATGTTCTTCATCCTACACTGTCCATACAGGCTTGCAATAATGCATGTTTCTTTCATTTGGCAAAGATGTTTTCCTTTCCATTTAGACCAACCATTATAATCCACCTCCATTGTCAAAATAGCGTTGACAATTTAGAAGCAATTAAAAGCTTGTACAAGAAACATTCATCCTAAATTTTCTGAAAAGATGAGATTCCAGTTAAAGATTTCATTTTCTTTTTGATTAGCACTGCCTGTCTCAGCAAGGGTTTGTGAAATCGTTTCAGTATGATCAATACACAACTTTCAGCCAAATGTCAGACTGCAAGATATTTTAATGCTATTACTGTTTATCAGAAATCAGTATGCTGAGCATTGGTTTCTCTCAAGCTTTTTGATTTCTGGCATCCTTGACTTCCATTATTTATTTGTTTATTTGCTGTCAATTAAGTTTGTTATTAAGTTTACAGTAAATTAAAATCATAATGTCTTCTGTCTAGCAAAGATGGAATATATACTTAGAGTAGCAGCATGTAGAAAATACAGCATATAAATGTAAACACATTTCTGTATGTACAAATCAAGAAAGAATCCTTAATGAAAGAACTCTTCAAAACAAACCAGACTTTTGATCTTTAAAGAACTGGAAATCAGAATTACATGCTGAACTCCTTATTAAGAAGGTCTGTTATTAGTGTTCCAATATCAAAAGCTCTGCAAAAATAGGAAGCATCAAAACTGAGGTGACTTGTGCATGTTGATATATAGCCTTGATCCTTGACAACCTTACTGCAAGAGCACAACCTTACTGCAAGAGCAGCTTGAGGAAAGGTGAAAAGAACAAGTCCTTTGAACTGTTAAAGACTTTCTCACCTCTTCTGTGCTCATTCCCTTTTTTTCTCCCCTAGCCCCATCATCCAGTGTGCTCTCTCCACATTACTTCTTGTTCTGCTTTAATTTTTCAATTCGTTTTGAAAGACAACAAAAATTTCCTGTCAAGGTAATGTTTCAGGAGCTGGAGAGGAGCAGTCAGCTCAGACTGGTGGTGCTCCTGCAATCCACAATACAGTCTGCCAGGGTCACATTGTAGCACACTCACTTCCAAACTTCAGGATCATTTCATTTTCCTACATAGTGATCCATCTAAGCAGCGAGCAAAACACTCTCTTCTTTCATATTCTTCTCCTCTTTTGCCCTGCTAAGAAGGACAATTTGGAAAATAAGCATTACTTTTTACAGGAGCTTTGCAGCATTTGCATGTGAACCACATCATCTAAGCACTGAAGCAAAACTAGCACTGTGTGGATATAATATTTTAGAAACAAAATCTGGCTCCTATTTAGGTATTACAAAAGCAGCTGAACTCCACTCAAAATCAGTGTTTATTCTGAGTGTGCTCACCATGAAAACGTGACAATATACTTAAAACTGAGATCAATGCATCAGAGATACCAGATAAAAATTTACTTGTAGAGTCCCCAGACAGATCCTATAGTATCACAAATCTGGGTTTCATCCGCTATCATCAGATAGTGCAGTGCTGCCAGGGTGCTCATAAACTTCCCAACCTCTTTGGCAGGAGGCTCTGGGAAAGAGGAGGGCAAGAAAAGAAGCAAGGCAGCAGCAATGGAGGAGGGGTGCCTGCAGATTCTTCAACTGATCTCCTCCTCAGGCATTCAAAAGAAAATATTTACATGTCTGCTTGTGACAAACTAACCTACAAGTGTGAATTCTTAGACATCACATGGGAATCTGATAAATAAGGGTAAGGAGGGAGGAACCTCTGCAGCACAGTTAAATACTTCGGAGTCATCCATAGGGTGATTTTGGATGTCTTTGAAGCACAAAACCCATATTTGCACTAGAAAGTGAAAGTCTCTTGCTTCCAGGAGCAGTGTTAGTACTGAACGCTCCAGTGCCATTGCCAGAAGAGACGAGAGTTGTGTGTGTCATGCCAGGAAACATCTTTGGTAATTTAATGGCCATTAATAAATATTAGTACAACTTTTAAATATTTTTTGTAACTAGAAGCACTATTGCCTAGGGTTTGAAAAATGAGATTAGTATTCTCTGTGTTGTAGACTCTTTGTGTGTAGCTTTTGCATTTAATAAAAGGCAATTATATAAAAGTCTGGACTGTCATTCTCAGTTTTATACATGACCCTTACAGAAATAAGGAAAAAAACCACCAAATTTTCTGTTGTGTTTCCAAGGAGAATTCATAACTGAAAGGGAAAAATAATTATCCATGGAATAAGCCAGTGCAAACAATCATAGGACCTTTCTTTATTTGAACAACACTCCACAAAGTTTCTATACAAACCTCAATTACAGTTGCTATATTCAGTCTTGTTTGCTTTGCCAACACATAGAAATAGCTGTCACAGTTTATGAATGCTATACTCTGATAGAAGGTCTGTGTATCCATAAAAATATCCAACACATGCTACCTAGTTCTCTTTGCACAGAAAAGGAAAATATTAATGCCAATCAGTTCTTCTGTATCACCAGAGCTGGGAGTGGATAGGTTTAGAAATGAAAGGAAGTTTCACAATCCAAGTCCATATTCCTGATTGCTGTCTATAGCCAGGTTATTTAAGAGGATTCATGTACTTGTCATATATCACTCTGTGGTGATTGGATGACTTATTGAAATTTAAAAGGAAATGCTAAGTTTTTTCAAAATATATGTTAGGGAAAATGTTTACATAAGTATACGATAAAAAAAATCTTCACCTCCAAATGGAGCTTTAAAATTTTGCTTTCCCAGGACATTTGGTGTAACTGTGTGTGAGAGAAGGAGAAAGGAAGGAAAGAGTGTATGCAGAAAGCAGTAGGGGTAGTATGAGTGGCCTTCCTTCCAAATCGGTTAAATAAAAACTGCACAATCAAATACACAGGAGTTAGGAGTATGACTCCCAGTGTGGAAAGGAAGTTTTAGCATAATGTCTGGCAGGAGACTGCTTAGGAAGTGGTTAGAGGGGAGGAGCTGTAGGCAGCAATTGTACACTAATAAATTACTGATGAATATTTCTGATAATGAAACAAAATTAATTACTGGTTTGTCATGGCAACTGTAAAATGTAGTTTTTGCTTGATGATGCAAACAAGGCTTGACATTGATGAAAATTAATTTAAACTGGAGGGGACAATGTTTTGAATTATTCAAAATAAAACAGAGCTGGTTTAAGTTGCAGTATTTGTCATCATGGCCAGGCTTCGCGAACGAAGATTTGGGAAGGGCTCTGCCCACATTTGTTGCAGTATTTGTAAGTGAGATACAAACAGGTGTCTTATCAACATGACCATCAAGCCAGGTGATGCAAAGGTGGATTAGAGTCTTTTAGCTCCGTCTTCCAAAGTCCCATATATGGGAATATATCTGCAGCTATATGTATGCTCATATGTGATTATATACTCAGTTATGATTATTCATCTTGAGAGTTCAAGGGCTCATCATCTTAGAAGAACGATTATTCTTCAGCTCCCAGCGCTCATATTCTGAATGACCTCTAAGCAAAGCAGAAAATTAATGGCAGCTCCTTTTTCTTTTGAAAATAACATGTTTTCAGAGTCCTGTGGAAATATAATCCACTGGAAAATTTCTTTAATTTCCTCTAGTCTTTACTGCTTCTTAAGGGACAAATCAAGGAAAGGAAAGGTTAATGGGACTACATTACTCTAGTTCACATCAGCATAAGCTTGGAGTGACTCCTGACTTCCTAGTGAGGTTACTCTAAATGTACAGTGATACAACCGAGAAAATAAATCAACTCATAAGGTTGTATGTCCTAAAAATTATTTTAATATCCCAAAGCTTTTCTCCACGTTACCCTGAAATTTAAAATGCAATTCAGAGGAATAATTGTGAATGTTAAAATAGCTGATTCTAGGCTTTCCTTGAAGGGTATTTAATCTCAGTTCGGAAATAATTATTTTTCATTTAGTTTTGTATTGCTACTTTGTTTTAGAACCACAGTTTCAGTCCATGTTAGTTCAATTTCAGCAATCAGGCACTAAGAAATACTGCCTGTCAGACTTCAGTGACCACTTTGCAGGAAACTACTAGGAGGTTCTGTAAGTCTGATTCCTAAATTTCTCTGAGACCAAGCAGTCAGTTCCACTGATAGTAGTAAAGAACAGAAAATATTTAAACATTGTAGTGGGGTTTGCCCAATTAAAATTGGAACCACTGGGTTCATTGCATACTTTTTGGAGGTATATAGAAAATATTGTTTTTTCATATGAAAACAGCTTGGTGCTTTCTTTTAATGAAAAATGTGTGATGGGTAAGAGCTGGTTATTTTGATTGTGGCAGTTAAAGTTAGGTGATATATTAGAGGATCTGGTGTATTATAGGATCTATTTGTGTTTGCAAAGGAAAATTTAACATTTAATGATAATAAAAGAACTTCTGGATTATTTAGCACTTCTTGCTAAATGATGAAAAGTAATGACAGGACAGCTGTTAGAATTAAGTGCGAGCTTCCTATTTCTGATTTGGAGCAGGATCTAAATGTAGTGGCAGTTAATAATTATAATCATGGGAAATTAACCAGCACTTAAATATTTTAAAAGCTTGTTAGAGAATGTTTTTAATATTTTGTTGCTTCTATAGAGGCATAGGAGTCTCCTAGGGAGAAGAGAGAGGGAGGATGTGGGGGTCAATAGATGACATATTTGCTTCTCAGGAGGTTAAACTGCGTAATCGGTTTTAATCATAGCTCAGAAGACTTGTCTTTCTGCATCTGAAAACTGAACTCAGAAATGTGTAACTGTACCTTCTCTGCACTTCAGACAAAAGCAGAGATGACAGGTTTGACCACCTTCCGCATCTTGGAGAAGCACCGCCAGGATTCAGGAAGCTTTTTTTTTTGGCTAGAAGTGTTAGGTCAGTTGTATGTTGCAAGCAAAACTGTGCAGGAAGTTATTGCAGACACCAGTCACAGGGTGATCCGTCACTGCGGGGAGCTACTGGAGAAACACGGAAGGAAGAAATGGTCTCTCACTACAGCCTAGATTACTGTCAGAAAGTCTAATATAACCACACTATCAGTCACAACTGTTCCTGGTGTTTCTAATATCTTCATTGCACAATTTTGCCTATATTTTTTTGTAAACAAAGAAGATCCTACAGAAAAACTCAGACCAGTCAAATGAAGCTGTGACTTTCCAGGCATACCTGGATGGATATGAAGTTAAGAGAACACTATAAAACATTTCATGAAACAAAATTCAAAACTTGTGGACACATTCCTATAGTAATATAAATGAATTTAAAATTATAATTTATTTAAATTACTACAGAAATTTATGCTCCTAACAAAACTGAAAGATTGCTCTCATTTTTAGCTATCACAGTTCTGTTTCTTTCTTTTTGTTTTTAAATTTCCAATCATTTTTCATTACTGTAAGATAAAATATTTGAAAGCTTAGCAGTGTTTGGTTATTTTTGCTTCTTTTGTTTTATCTTTTACAAGATGATAATTAGATGTAGTTTGAATATCTTTGGAAAATATAATAATAGGAAACAGCACTTGTATCATTTATGTAGCAGCCCTAATACAGATGTTCTGCTCTTATCTGCACACTTTTCTCTTAGAAACTTAATATGCTTTGCAGACATACATAAGCTGCTTAAATAGTGTCTAAGATGAAGGTGCTTTATAGAAGTAAAATCTGTTCTTGTAAGAATCAATACTGTTTTGGTACTTTTTTGGTATTCTTTTAGATTAACTGCATTTTCATTACCACATACTTGGGTAGTGATTTAAAAGAAGTATTCATTTAGGATGAAATAAAGCTCTGTTGAGAAGACTAATACAGCCTTAGGAAGCAATTTAAGTCAAGGTCTTAATGGGACCTTATTGGGCCCTAACTCCTGCATAAACTCTATGCTACCTTTCTTCTGAGGCACTTTTCCACTTTGAAAACATACGATAGAGAACCTGTGTTTTTAAATCAATTTTGAAATTAAAGAGAGTTTAAAATTAAAATTGTATGTCTCTATTTCTATTTTTCTTTTGTGTTTAAAATTAAAGAAGAGGAGAAAGACCTGGAGTGTGGAAAATCACTGTTTATACAAAATTGCTCTAATGAATTTTTTGTAAGGACAATCATAGGTGTATCAAGTACAACATTTTTAATACCTGAGCTGTTGTTAAAATGTTCTTATTATTTTGGAATCAGCTTTAGTATCTTGGGACCTGCATTAAGACTTAAGGAATAGAATTTGGTTGCTATCCGTTTCCACTCTTCCCCAAAAAGGCGTTTTGGGTCTGCTGGAACTCTGTTGCTCCTTATTGCTTTAGGCTGTACAGCCTCTTAAAGCCCATGATAAGAAGCACTGTTCTGAAGGACCACCATAGGTGTTGGGTTTCCTTAAACTAAGACACTCACTTCCTCAACTCTGCTCTCCTCAGGTCATGAATTAATCTCTCACTTGCTGCCTGGGGTATTTTAGACATATCTACAAGTCTTCTTGGCCATGCTTTCTTCCCTGACTTCTCTTCAATATACAGATCTAGATTTAAAGGTGGATCAATGCAGAAGCATCTTCCCTCCTTATCTTCTCAAGTGCCCTCCACTTCATAATATACCTCTGCACATGTGGGATGCCGACCTCCACGCTGCCTGTGAGAGCAGTCCCTGGTAAGTTCCCTGTATGGTGCTTGGGATTTATGTTACCTCTTTGCAAAGCAGGGGAAAATTTAAGCTAGTCCA